TCCCATGTTGAAATGATGATGGTTATAAAACTTCCTGACCACACGGGGGCAGCACCAAACACTGCTGGTTGCTTTTTGCTACTCAGTCCTTTGGGAGAAAGCAGAGCTTACTCCCTGGTGGAGCTCGTCATTCCCCATACATCCGGTTCCTTTTATTTTGGTTGGTTGGACTGGTGGTGAAGCTTTTCAAATCAGAATCTAAATTACAATAGCAGGATTGTACATGAAAAATAGCTTAAAATAAGTTCATTGTAATATATTTAGGGCTCTTGTTTTATCTTTATCAGCATGACAAACAATATACTTAATATACTGTGATGGGGTTAGTTAGCCATTTGCATTTCTTAGCCACCAAAATACCCTTGACTTTTAGTTAGCTGGTTTAGTTTTAAATCCACATATTCTTGGACTCAAAGGACAAAAACCAGCCAGTATGCTTTTTTTACCTTCCTTATTATTAATAAATTCTTTTGAGTATTCACAGGCTGTGGATTTTTTAGTAGGCAAATAGAGAAAGTGAGAAAAATGTGTACGTGGCTTCTAGTTTTAAGAGCATACGACCATCCCCAGAAATGCTAGTTTCTTAGAGTTCAGTTCCCCCACCCAGAATAGCCAGGGTGCTCTGCTCATAGCAGCTGCTATGACTTTGAACCCTCTTTCCACTCGGGCATATCTCAACGTCCTTTCCAAGCCTATTTCATTACCAGAGGCAGAATCCACTGGAATTTTGACTGGAACGACTGTAATTATTTATTATATCCAAACTGAGACACTTTAGAGAATAAAAGGAGCTCCTCTTGTTAATCATTTTTGCCAGAACAACAAACATAAACCAGAGCCGTCCTGGGGACAGTTTTGAAATGTCTGGTCACAGCTAATTACAAACCCCGTTTCATTTCCCCCTTTGTTGATTCCAGTGAATGTTTATGTGGCACTGTAACTCATTTGCTCTTTTATTCAAATGTTCATTGAGTGTTTTCTGTGTGCTAGATTCTCTACCTATATTACATTGTTTTGTCCTGGTGAAAACCCTCTGAGGTAACTATTGTTATTCCTATTTTCACAAATGAAAAAAAAAATAATTGGTACTTTGTAAATTATTTTGTACCTACCCAAGATCACAGTACCAACAAATCTGAGAGCTAAGGTTTGAATCCAGGCTCTCCCTGCTCTAGTGCCATATGTACTCAAAACTTTATTGACATCACTGACTGCCTTTTTGAGCCTTCTTTGTGGGCCTAGCCCAATCTGACACTGGGCATCCAGTAAAACCTCAGGTATAAAGCAGAGTGATTAGGAGTGGGAGCCAAAGTTAGACTGCCTGGGTTTGAATCCTAGGTCCACCACTTAATAGCCTTGTGCTTCACTCACTTCCCTCATCTATAAAGTGGGTACAGTTAACTTAGTGTCAACCTCAGAGGGTTGAGATGAGGATGAAATGAGTTAAATACCTTTGACATTTGAAGAATTCCTTGTTTGCTGGGTCAGGTGATACAATTATTTTGTGCTTATTTTCTGCCATAAATGTTCTCCAAATCAAGAGAATTTCTGTTTCTTTTTTGGGGGGTGGGGGTTGGGGAGTTGGGGGATGGAGCTGGTAGGTAACAAGATGGAAAGGGGTTAGATTGTGGCATTATGATTTTACTGACTAGGGACTCTGCTGGGAACCAGCATGGGAGGGAGGGTAGTGAACTTCCTCGTTTTAGTAAGACCCACAACTTGATAGGTCTGAGCTCATATGTGCCCTTTCCCATGTCCTCCAGGGAACACTGGAAGGTGTGCTGTGGTGTGCACCTGTGACACATCTCGTGTGTGTACCTGAAGAAACACTGTTAGTCTGGGGCTAAGGAAGCAAAGCTGCAGAGGGGCAGGCAGACCAGCAAAGAAACATCTCAGCTGCTGACCAGAGGCCAGGCCTCACTTGCTCACATGCCAGCTCTGTGCCTCCAGGCGCTCTCTTCACCTTGGAGCATTTGCACTGCAGCAGATAGACATGCACACGTAAAATGTGAGGGCGTCTCCCAGAACCTCTCCCCAGGAGACCGGGTCCTGAGGAGCTTCTGCAGTTGTCACAAGGATGACCTTCTCTTTTTGGTGTATTTGTAAACAGCCCATGTGCACCCTCAGCGTATGGCAGCTGTGCTGCTCCAGGTGGTTATGCAGGTACCTCAGTACTTCCGCCTCTGGGACGTGAGGATCCACGTGCACTTTGCTTAAATAGATTGTCCTTGGTATTTCGGTGTGTTCCCCACCCCCCGAGAAAATGCAGTTAGCAACTGGGGAAAGAGGTGCCCAATCTGGACCTGGGGGCTGAGATGGGGAAGGTTGAACTAGACCACATGTCATTTTATCATGAACTAGGTCACTTTGGGACAGTTTGCTGCATTTCTTTATTTAAAAAAATATATATATATATGTTTATTTAAATTAGTTTCAAGTATGCGATACATTGGTTAGACATCTCTATAGTTTATAAAACAATCCCCCCAATTGCTCTGGCCCTCCATCTAGCCAGTATATTAATGCTAACTGCATTCCCTTTGCTGTGTTCCCCATCCTCATGACCAACTATCTACTAATTTGTACTTCTTTAACCCCTCACCGCATTCTCCCAGCCCCGCCTCCCATCCTCTGTCCGTCACCAAATTGTCCACTATATTTGTGTCTGTTTTTGATTAGATTGTTCTTTTTGTTCCTTAGATTCCTCATATAAGTGAAATCATATGGTATTTGTCTTTCTCTGTCTGACTTCTTTCACTCAGCATAATAACCTCTAGGTCCATCCAAACCATAACTTCTTTATTCAATCATCTGTTGATGGGCATTTATGTTACTTTCATATCTTGGCTATTGTAAATTGTGCTGCCATGAATATTGGAGTGCATAGATCTTTACGAATTATTATTTTGGTTTTCTTTGGATAAATATCCAGAAGTGCAGTTGCTGGGTCAAAAGATATATCCATTTTTAATTTTTTGAGAAACCTCTAGACTGTTTTCCATAGCTACTGTACCAATCTGCAATCTCACCAACAATGTATGAGGGTTCCCTTTTCTCTGCATCCTTGCCAACACATGTTATTTTTTGATTTATTGGTATAGGCATTCTGACAGGTGTGAGGTGATATCTCATTGTGGTTTTAATTTGCATTTCTCCGATAGTTAGCGACTTTGAGCATCTGTTCATATATCTGGTAGCTATCTGTATTTCCTCTTTGGAGAAGTATCTGTTCAGATCTTCTGCCCATTTTTTAATTGGATTGTTTGTTTTTTTGTTGTTCAGTTGTATAAGCTCTTCAAATATTTTGGATATTTACCCTTTATTAAATGTATCATTAGCTAATGTCTTTTTCCATTCAGTCGGTTATCTTTTTGTTTTGTTGATGATTTCCTTTGCTGTACAAAAACTTTTTAGTTTGATGTAGTCCTATATGTTTATTTTTTCTTTTGTTTTCCTTGCCTGGGGAGATATATCTGAAGAGAAATTTCTGTTAGTAATATCAGAGAGATTACTACCCATGTTTTCTTTTAGAATTTTTATGGTTTTGGGTCTTACATTTAAGTCTTTAATCCATTTTGAGTCTATTCTTGTATCTGGTGTAAGAAGGTGGTCCAGCTTCTTCTTCTTCTTCTTCTTTTTTTTTTTTTCAAAAAAGCCACACCCAACACCATTAATTGAAGAGACTGTCTTCACCCCATTGTATATTCTTTACCTCCTTCATCATATATTAAGTGAGTGTATATGTCTGGATTTATTTCTGGGCTCTCTATTCTGTTCCATTATTCAATGTATCTGTTTTTATGCCCGTACCATGCTGTTTTGATTACTGTAGCTTTGTAGTATAGTTTGATATCAGGTAGAGTGATACCTCCAACTTTGTTCTTCTTTCTCAAGATTGCCGTGGGTATTTGGGTTTTTTTTTTTTATGGCTCCATATAAATTTGAGGATTATTTGTTCTAGCTCTCTGAAAAATGCATTTCTTCATTTTATTATGAAGTTCACTTTAGGAAACTTTACAGGATGCTTCTGGAGAGTCGTCCTCTTGGCTCCTATGGAAATGTAACATCTTGTCTGCCTCTCCTTTCATGGGAAGGTATTCTCTTCAACTGATGTGCAGCTAGGAGGGACCCCAGGCCACAGAGCGGGGTGAGAGACCCCCATTCCGGCTACCTGTCAAACTTGGCAGTGGACAGCAGGGCAGATGCTGTAGCTTAATTGCCGTTACATGTCCCAAGAATTTCTTTTTTATACATCTTTGGATTTTTTTACTTGTTGTAATATGCATATAATACTTTTCATATTTAAAAAAAATTGAATAACAGCATTAAAAAGGAAGACAAGGAACATGATCTCAAATAAAATATCTGTAAATGATAAAAGAATAAATAGAACTTGTGCTTTAAGGTATCTCACAAGTTTGTCCATTCTGTAGGTTTCTCAGGATTTGGTGCTAATAACTAATGCTAGAGGACCTGAGATCTATTAGCATGAAAGCACATTCTCCCCACACACCCCCCCCCATCCCATTTTCCTTCATTTCTGGGTATTAGAGAATACATTTGCTTTATTGTTTTTAGAAACAAATGCCTAACATGGATTTAATTCATTCTCTCTCCTATTATCGTTTTCTAAGTGCAAGTAACAGATCTTGTGGAGATTAAATTTCTTCCTATAAAAAAAACTGCCTTCTAATAAATAAAGGAGCTAAGAAATTTTTATGTCTATTAGCCCTTTAATTTTACTTTTAGTAATCTGCTCTAAGAAAAAAGTCTGAACACACATACAGAAAGTTAAGCAAGAAGATATTTATCACTGTGTTTTTTAATAGCAAAAAAAGTCACAATTTAATTTTCCAACAATAGAGGATTAGATGATTAAACATTGATGACTGAACATTATGTAGCAAATACTCTTTAGGCATACCTTATAGAGGATTTTAAATTGATATAGATTGACCTGTGACCAAAGAGTAATTTCTTGTTCTCTGACTTTGTTCTAGTGTTTTGCGGTACGCTCTCTGGGGTGGGTAGAAATGGCAGAGGAGGACCTCGCTCCTGGTAAAAGTAGCGTTGCTGTCAACAACTGCATCAGGCAGCTTTCTTACTGCAAAAATGACATCCGGGATACAGTCGGCATTTGGGGAGAGGTAAGTAACACGTGGAAAGAATTAATGGCAGACTTGGTTATATTCCTCTGTGCTTCAGGAAATCCCAGAGCTCTGTGGGACATGGTAGTGTGGGGCACTGCAGGTATTTATCAGGTGCATTTTCCCATAAAGGCAGGTAGTGTAGGCAGGATGCACCCTGTGATCTACCTATTAGTACTGCCAGGTTCCAGTGAGAGAATGTTGCTGAGTGTCTAAGTGACAGGGTCTAACCTGGTATCCCCGAATCCCCAGGGATCCGTAGATGGACTTTAGGGCAGGGGTCTCCAACCCCTGGGCCACGGACCAGTACCAGTCCGTGGCCTGTTAAGAACTGGGCCACACAGCAGGAGGTGAATGGCGAGCGAAACATCATCTGTATGTGCATCCGCTCCCCAGCACTAGCATCACCACCTCAGCTCCACCTCAGATCATCAGATATTAGATTCTCATAGGACCACCGGTCCCTGGTGCCAGAAAGGTTGGAGATGCTGCTTTAGGGCACAGAAACCCCTTAAACTTGCATTCAGAATTGTTTGTGTCAGGATATAAGAGCAGTTTTCCAGGAAGAAGACACACAGCTCTCTCAAAGTATATCCTCAAAGAGGAATGTGACCCCCACACATACACACAAAAATGTTGATGCCCTGCTCTGAAAGTTGTCAGATGATTCTTTTGTAATACGTTCTTCACTTACAATCTGAAAATCAACACGATGTGTGCATTTTGGAATCAATATGTATACATTCTTTCTCGCTTTGAACAAAGTAATTCCATTTCGAAATGTTAGTTGAGATAACTTCAAAAAGGAAAAGAATACGTTAAAATACCAAATTTGTATAAAAATCATGTGAAATAGAAAAAACCATATTCCTACCGTGCTCTTGGACCTGTAGAACAAGCATCTTGGGAACATCTTCGAACAGTGCTACAGGAATCCACTGCCCTTGATCCCTCGCCAGTTAACAGGGCCTCTGTTGCCTTTGGGAGGACCAGCGTGCTTTCTAAGGTGAACTAGCCCCAAAGAAGTATATCACTCAGCTCAGTGAAAGGGAGCTTGACCTTCTTATGGGTCACATCCTGCAGGGCATGTTTAACATATCAGGTAACAATGTCAGCCAAAACAAGTCTGTCAGAGTCTAATAGTACCTGGGAGGTGTTTGCCATGAGCAGCTGCACAGAAGCGGGGTGGGGGATTACCCAATGGGTGTCGTATGGGGAGCCACTCCCTAGTGGGTCTGGCTGAAGATCACCTTTCGGCTCTAGTCAGTGCTCGATTCCTGGTGGGAAGGGACACAGAGGAGAAGAAGGCACCGAAAATCTTCAGACAGCTCTGAGTTATCCCAGAGCACATCATCTGGTTGACCCCGGCGGACTCGGGACCTGCTCCACTCGCAGTTCCCAGCTCTCCATGGCTCTGTGATCGTGCAGCTCCGAAGCACTGCCGCACAGCATTCTCAACTAAAGGCTGGAGGAAAGGAGCCCAGACTTTAATGGAAGGGCGGAGTGGGGACAGCAGCCCATCACCGCATCTTGGCTCTTCATCTTGGCTCTGCCAACTGTTGCTCGGCCACCAACCAGTTACCCAACTTCTATGAGGTGCTGGGCAACTGAATTTCTCTAGGACCTGCAACTCAATAATGGTTAGACTGCAAACTGATTAATTAAGAATTGGCTCTTTGCCCGGGGTCTGGACATGGATACAGCTATGACCTTGAAGTGTACACAGACAAAAGCTCTATCTCGCAGCAGATGGAATGAGCTACCATTCTCCAACAAAGACATTTGGGGATGCTATAGGTCTGAGGTGGTAGGTAGCCTTTTGCTCCAGGCTCTGTGGAGTCTGTGCAGTACAACAGCCTGCATAAGCTGTATTTTCTGCCAGGGCTCTTATCTGGAAATGGCTTTCCTACCTTTTGGTAAGATTTCAGATCATGCTGCATCTCAGTCATAGACTCTCAGCTTAAACACTGGCCAGCAGAAGCACTGAAAAACCCTTGTCTGCCACCTAAGCAGCAGAGCTTGTGTTCCCTCTGAGAACCTGGGATGGGAACCCGAAACATTCTTCGAACCATTGCAGAGAGTAATTTTATGTATCCTGCTTTGGAATTGAAGACTCACCAAGAAGACTCACTGTTCTGCCCAGCTAGACCTCCCTAGTTTCAACAACACAGCATCAAACTTGACCATGACCCTCAGGAGACACAGTCTTTCGGTGGTACAGCAAAGTGTAATAATTTCTTAAAATTATCCTTGAGGAATTCCTCAAGCAAGAGGAATAAAGTTGAGTAAGTCTAGCGTTCCTGCTGTCAAAGAGCCAATATGTATGGGGAGACAGAAAACCAAAAACTGAGTAGCGATGTAAGAGATGAGAAACCTTGGCCTCCCCTTACGTTGGTATTAACACAACACCTATGTAGCTAAAGGCATCACAGGTTCTGTGTCAGACCTTGCACAAGTGATTTAACCTTTTAGCCTTGGTTTCCCCATCTGCTAATTGGAAATAATAACAAATCAAGCTCTCAGGGCAAGCTGGAGAGTTCATGAGCCAGTGCACCCTAAGCATGTGGCATAATATCTGAGATGCGATAAAGTTACATAAACGTTAGCTGTGGTAGTACCAAGAAATGTCACAAAGCTGTTCTACTATCTGCCAGCCAGATCACACAGACACAAAGTGGTGTAAAAGTTGAGAAGATATGGACGTTGTTATGGGTCTGGAAAGGCTGTCCGGGGGATGCCCAGTGAGGGCTGGCCAGGGATGAAGGAATGGGGAGAGAGTTGTTATGAGAATGCCAGGCATGGAGTTAGTAAGCGGCCAAATTCTCCAGGGAACCTGCCATTAACTTTTTTTCTTAAAGATTCAGAAGTGTAAATAAAAATGAGAGCTAGCTAGAAGGCGGGCTAGGGACACTTTTTAGAGGACTTGGAGAGGGAGAGAGAAATTGGGTATGTGAGGGGAATCTGAAAGATTTATGAATATTTTAGTTAGGAGTGACTGTTTCCCTCTCAAGAAAACAAATTATAGACCCAAAGGGTGGCTTCTTTTGATCGTTGAAATGACATCCCTAGATAACCACAAACTAGAAGGTGTGTAGCTTCGTGCGGAAGATAACATGTTTTCTTATTGATTCCAGGGGAAAGACATGTACCTCATCCTGGAGAACGACATGCTCAGCCTGGTGGACCCCATGGACCGCACTGTGCTCCACTCACAGCCCATCGTGAGCATCCGAGTGTGGGGCGTGGGCCGCGACAATGGCCGGTGAGTGCCCTGGAGTGATGCATGGGTCACTTGTCACCTCACCAGGTGCCCCAGTTGTAGCTCAATACCAAAGTGTGGTCTTGCTGTTACTGCACTTCACTGAATATACAACTTGACAGTAGACTGTTTTTAGAAATATAAAAAACTGAAGCATATTTCTGTTTCCCTGCCTCGTAAACCCTTCACACTACTTCCCTTCCTGATGTTTGCGCCTCAAAGCTTTTGTCAGCTCTGGATCCTGCCTTCAAGTCTGCATATTTCTCTTCCTGCTCATCTTTATCTAAGTTCTCAACTCACCCAGGCTCTGTGAGCCCCCACCTCCCACCCCCTCTTTTCTGCAGTCTGTTTTAATCTTCCATTTCATTCCGTTGAGTCTCAGCCATTTCAGGTGCCCTACTACTGGTATTTTCCTCGTAGAGGGCTTGTTTGAAGGGAGGGGTTATATAACCTTCAGTCACAAGCTTTAGATCATTAAGTCATCATGATCAGGAACTTTAGTGGTTTGAAGCTGGCTGAACTCTTTTAACACCTGAAACATTTGGTCATATAAAATTCCATTCAATATATATTTTTCTGAAATTCTGTTGAAAATTTGTTATGTACAGAAGTGTTTCTTACTTAGCTGTGTTGTGAATTTTCTGTTCTCCAGAATGACTGGAAACAAGAAAGTTCTGATTTTCAAATACATATCTTAACTAAAAAAGTGAGTTATCTCAGACATCGCCCTTGGATATCATTAAGTAATTGGGCTACATTAAATGCATTAACTTTTAAATTACAGTTGACCCTTGAACAACATAGGTTTGAACTGCCTGGGTTTGCATATGAGTGGCCCCTAGTCATTCAAACCCATGGTGTTCAAGGGTCGACTATATTTTTTATCCATGGCTGGGAATCCGAATATGTGAAGGCCAATTTCAGTTATACATGGATTTTTGACTGCTAGGGTGGTTGGCGCCCCTAACCCCCACATTCTTCAAGGGCCAACTATATAATTTATCTTTGGTGATTCTCAAGGCACCTGAGGATGTGCTAGCATTTAGGGATGAGCTATAGGATGATTAGTTACTGCTTTGTTTAGAATGGACAAGAGCATTGCAAAAGTGGAATGGAAAATCCCAGTGGGTGAAAAGTGGGTGAAAATCCCAGTGACAGAGATGGCTCTTCTTGTTCCATTCTCAGACATTCTGGTTTATTGGATTGTGTGGTCCTCTGGAGGGCTCTGCCTTGGCTTATGCCAGCTTGTGTCTACTAAGACTGGGCATCAGTGATTCAGTTCCAAGTCCTAAGCCAGAAAGGAAATGGATGTCAGTTAAAGGAACAAGCATTTTTGCTGGAACCAAGCTGGAGTAATGGTTAGCATAAGAGAGCTGAGGTGTCCTCTGACTGCTAATTGATTAAACCTTCCTGGGAACACAGTTGTGTCTTTGAGCTTTTGTAATAGAGTGTTGAATGGTGACACCTGGACTAGGTGCTTTGGGGAAAACGAGTGGATAGATTATGTGTACACACCTGTCATTTGCTTGCTTGGCAGAGCTGTAGCTCTAGAGTTGATGTGTGGAAATGAATTGGTTAATTTTACAAGGAAAATACCTGATGGTGTTTGCTCATTATTAAAAATGTTTATCCTTGATGGAAGGGTATAAGATGCTTGCTTGATCCTTCCCTGATTCTTGTCCTTCAAGTTTGTTTTAAAGTTAGGAGCCAAGGTGAAGATCATTATATACATATATAACTAGTTAAGTTGTAAGTGAATTTCACTGATGAGGTGTTCAGCCTCCCCAGCTTTTTAAAGTGAGGCCAAATGCTACATGTTCAGGGAGAAAACAACTATTCAAACTCCAGCTGACAAAATGATTCAAGCTCTGAGCCTCAGTTTCTCTTATACATACAAAGCATATGTATATACGCCTATGTATATGTATAATAATTGGCACTGTGATGGAGGCATGATGAATGTTTAATGAGTATTAGCTCTTAATTTGTTAAAGCAGCAGACAGTAGCAAATACTATTACGTGGTTTTCTTTCAAAGACAGGGTTGGGGTGTGGGAGAGGGCCAGACCTTAGGGAGGTTTCAAGAATCAGTTGATACAAAGGCCGAAAGGCTGTTCCAGGCACTATGAGTTCAGTTGGAGTTCAGTTGTCCTACAAAGAAGGAAGAGGCCCCCACCCCCTGCCCCGCAACGATGTCTGTGTAAATTAGGTTACATGACCTTGATTATGTTTTTGAAAAGTGGGCTATGTTACCCCTGTCTTAAACTTCTTTTTCTTACTCAGTGTTGGCAGATAAGTGTAATTTAGAAATTCACGCAGGGTTCCACGTCAGCTGTCAGGACCTCAGCAAGCTCATGGAGTAGTTGGGGGCCCTTGAACTGGATTGCTTTTGGAAGCAGTAAATTAAAAAGTAGGTTTGCCAGTGAAAGGTTCTATTTCTTCCCATTGGTCCCCTCAGTTTTCATTCCCTAAAAGAAGGAGCCTTTGTATTCCTGCCTTAAAACAACAACAACAAAAAACTTTCTTTTGATTCTTTTTTTTTACAGCAATTTACAAGAGCAAATTCAATTTGTAATGCTGCAAAGGAAAGGGGTTTTCGCTTTGCATGAATAAAACATAAAAGTGTTTCATTTTGCTTGTGAAACCAAGCCTATTTTACATTCCCTTTTGTAACTTCCTTTGCTGAGAAAATGGAACCTCTTAGGGGATTTCTTGATGTGGTTCAAATGAAGAAGAAATGTGTGTATACCAGAGGCTTGAAGGGCACAACCATCTTTCTTGAAATTCAGAGTGCTTCACTAAGCCACGTAATTTCAGAATTTATAAAGTTATTTGGGGTTTAGTATTTCCTCAAGGCTTTCAAATGGTTTTGATTTGCTCTGAAGAAATTCCTTACCGAGTAAGTTTACTTTGAGGAGGTGATCTAGCCCCACACTGATCCCCAAGGTTAATCTGGAGAAACCTTTTATTAAGAAGGAGTTGCAGTCACATCACATATTGATTTTCTGGGGGGTGTTATTTCTTGCTTGATGGGACTGAAGTTTTTGTCTTGTTCCTCAGGGCATTTACATTATTGACAGGCAAAGGGCGGCTACCTCTTCTCTCTCTAGGCTATTCTGAACTTTGGTTCCTTTTGATCACAGTGAGATGCAAGTGAAGGCTCTCAGACCTAGAGATTGGTAAAAGGGGTTTTCAGATCCTTGTATTTCTAAACAAAGGCAGCGCTGGGGAGCACCCAGATTGACCTGCTCTGCCCTGCCCTCGTGAAAAGGAGGCCGTCCTTCTGGGTATAAATGGCTCTGGGCTTTAGAGCCAGCATTTTGTCCCCAGTGACGAGAGCAGAGGCTGTAGTGCCACCTCTCATCTTGCCTCTGTGGGCCTGCCAGGCTGCCTTTCCTGGATGGCGTGGAGGGATTTCAGGAGCTCATACTGACTCCTGGCCGTGGTTCTCTTTTTACTCCCGGGAGCCGTGGGAAGAGCATTCTCCCTGTGCTTTATAGAGGAATCAGAAGCAAGCAACATAATTTCTGAGCACAGGGACTTGTAACAGGGTCTCTCTTCTCCCTTGTGGCATGTAAGAGTCCATCTTCTGGGCACACAGATCCTTGTGTACGTTGCCAACAGGTAGTAGAGTGTAGTCATCCCACCTGTTTCTCGTGAGAAAGGAAAACGGGAGAATGGTATAATCAGAACATTTCAGACCCCGTCAGTGGGATTTCCCCAAGCGGCTTCCATAGAGTGGACCACAGAGCACGATCAGGTAAAATGCTCAGAGACTCCCTGAGGGGAAAAAAAAACCTTTTA